TGTCCCAGTGGGTGGCCAGCGGTCACTCTCTGCAGTGGTGCTACGAGCACTTTGTCCAAGCGCGGTCCCTGCGCCGCGCCCGCGACGTGCGGGACCAGCTCCAGGGGCTGATGGAGCGCGTGGAGATCGCGCCGTCCTCCTGCGGGGCCAACCTGGACCTGGTGCGCAAGGTACGGACCCAAAACATCCCAAAATGGACCCAAAAATATCCCCAAAATATCCCAAAATGGACCCAAAAATATCCCAAAATGTATACCCAAAATATCCCCCCAAACACACCCCAGAGATGGCGCCGTCCTCCTGCGGGGCCAGCCTGGACCTGGTGCGCAAGGTATGGACCCAAAATATCCCAAAAATATCCCAAAAATATCGCAAAAATATCCCAAAATGTACCCAAAATATTCCCCCAAACACACCCTGGAGATGGCGCCATCCTCGTGCGGGGCCAACCTCGACCTGGTGCGCAAGGTACGGACCCAAAATACCCCGAAATGGACCCAAAAATATCCCAAAAATATCCCAGAATTACCCACAAAAACAGCCCCAAAATATCCCAAAATGTACACCCAAAATATCCTCCCAAAACACACCCTGGAGATGGCGCCGTCCTTCTGCGGGGCCAACCTGGACCTGGTGCGCAAGGTACGGCCCCAAAATATCCCAAAATGGACCCAAAACTATCCCAAAATGGACCCAAAAATATCGCAAAAATATCACAAAAATATCCCAGAATGTACCCAAAAATACCCGCAAAAACAGCCCCCCAAAACACACCCCGGAGATGGCGCCGTCCTCGTGCGGGGCCAACCTGGACCTGGTGCGCAAGGTATGGACCCGAAATACCCCAAAATGGACCCAAAAATATCCCAAAATGGATGCAAAAATATCCCAAAATGAACCCAAAATGCACCCAAAACCAGCCCCAAAATATCTCAAAATGTACCCCAAACCAGCTTTGAAATGAACCTAAAATGTCTCCAAAACACACCCAGAATATCCTCAAATATCCCACAAAAATCCCAGTGCCCTCCTGGTGACCCTATAACGCCTGCCCAGTCCATCCCAGTCCGTCCCAGTTTATCCCAGTGACCCCATAACCCCATCCCAGTGACCC